CCTTATGTGGAGCATAGGACGTCTATAGACCTCTTTTGTCCGAGGCCTATATTCGTTTCTCGAATCAGATTGTTTTTCGGATTTGTGGGTGATTGGTCCACAGAATCCTACCTCAGTCAGATATTAGAGACAAATATTTACTGATATGTATACTACTGATGTATACTGATGTATAGGACCTACAGTTTAACGCCGAATCCGAACGGCGCTGATGATCATAGATCTTTTGATCACCAGATGAAGCCATTTTTTGGCTCATTAAACGCGAAAAATCGCGTTTGGGCGCACGTGGGATTGAACTCGGGTCTACAAATCGCGAGTCAATCGCACAGAGCGGTGAGCCACTCGACGCCACACATATAATATAATATTATAAATATACATATATATACATACATGTATATTACATTTCTTCATATATTACATTTCCGCTCAGTGAGCGGTCGTCCTAAAAATGCACCCATAAGCCCGGATCTACAATAGAGTTTTAAGCCTTAAGCCATAAGGAATGAACGAATCATAGTCGATTATTCAACTCGAATTCGATTGTAATTGGTTAATTTCTTACAGCTTAGGTAGTAGCATCTACAATACGTGTTTATCAAAACACGTATTGTAGATCCGGGATAATGGAAAAGTAGACTGCAAGGCACAAAATATCGCGGTCAACCTTAAATATTTTGTTTCCCTAAATTCTCCCCAAGACTATAAAATAACCCTAACCATTCTCCCTAAACAATATGTCTCCCTAAATTTCTCCCCAAGCCTAAAAAATAACCCTAAACTAGGGAGAAAATCCACGATCTGGCAACACTGATATACAGTAGCGCAACTCTCCCGATTTTATGTTGCCTAAAATGGAGTGCGCATGCGCGAAATATGGCAGTTACTAGACTATGCCTTTCTCTTTTCATCCTTTTATCGCTCTGTCAAACCTATTTATTTAGCGCATGCGCACTCCATTTCCGCCAACATAAAATTGTAAGGCGGGGAGAAGGGAAACGGACTAACCGCCAAAAGTTATGAAGGAGATGGCGTCTCCTCAAAGGAAAGATCCACAAATACGACAATGTGTCGTAAAGGACAAACTGGATCGTAGGTACTAATGTCAGGAAGGAAAACCGATAACCTCTGGATATCTTAGGTCAACGGGCTTTAATGGACTCTCGTACGGGTTCACACAAACAGGCTTTATTATCTGTATCACCAAGTTAATGTTCTCGCTATGACTCTTATTACAGAAGTAGTGTCTCGTCTTGTTGTTCTCTCCCGGGCTGCGCGTACGCACGCGCATGACCGGTGCTCTTGACCAATCCTAGCGGACGTATATCAAACTGCCTATCACAGGCTATCACGTGGTCTGAAGGACCTATCGGTATTTCCGAATATCTTGCGCAACCGCATTACATGACTGCAACGGCTTAAACCTAGTGCGCGCGCCGCAATGGCGTAGTAACCTAACCTAGAACTGACTGATCTCTTACAGCCTCGGCCAGCCTGACATGCCGTTCGACTCGAACGTAATAATCGATTAACCAATAAAAGAATATAATCTTTATAAACAAACAAATAATATTAATAGGCATGACCTGAAATTAACATTGATATAAAATTATAAATCGCAAACAAATATAGAATATCTTAAGCACTAAAGTTACATCTAACGGTTATAAAGACTTATTATACTAAAAAAAACAAATATTGATATAAAATAATTAAGTAGGAACTACTGGCTTAACCCAGGGTTTGAGACGGTCTGGGGATAGAATTGAGTTATACGGTCTAGACGTAATATTAAAGCCAGGAATGTCTTTAATAACATATCTATTTTTATTAAGAACTTTAGATACCATGTATGGACCTTTATATAATGGTTTAAGTTTTTTATCCTCACCGGGTTTAACAACAGTATCCCGTATTAACACATAATCTCCTTCGTTGTATTTTTGAGGAGTTTTATGATGCTTATCATAATAAGTTTTATTATATTGTTGAATTTTATTTGAGGCTTCTAAAGCTATTTCTTTATTTAAATCACGTTGATTTTCAATAGGCAATATAGATTCAGCCATGGCATTCAAAGTTTCAATTAATCTATTATCGGCATGGTTACGCTGGTCATAACCAAGAAAGAGTTTTGATGGCGACATATTAATAGCTGAGTGGAAAGTATTGTTGATAACATATTGTATAGTGTTTAAATTAAGCGACCAAGATGTTTGCTCCTCTGTAATTTTACGCAAACAGAATTTAAGAAAACGGTTGATTCTTTCTACCATTCCATTGGCCCAAGGGGCTGCGACTGCGATCAATCTATGATATATGTTTCGTGAAGAAGTGAAATCAGAGAATTCTTTAGAAGTAAAGGCAGTGCCTCTATCTGAAACAATTTCAATTGGATTACCAAAAATATTAAAAAGATAAGAAAAATGTTGAATAACTTCTTTCGAGTTACCCAGATAGCCAAACCTGCCAAAAGCACGCATTGCTAATTTATGCTATATTATTATAATGGCAAAAATCGAGCAACAGTCGAACACGGTTTACCATTTCAGTATAGCGCTAACAGAAATATAGCAAAAATAAAGCAGACCTGCGTCATAATTCACTAGCAAAAATTCTGTAAAATTTATCAAACGTTACCGAAATAAAGCAAGCAGAATTCGAGCATTACATGCTGGCAAAATAAATTAACAAAAAATAGATGAAAACTTGATATAAAACATGACTACATGTTAAATCAGCAAAATCTTGTTAAAAATCTGGCACACTTATTGTCATATTATGACAGCAAAAAGGCGGCAAAAACACTGCACGATCTGACATAATTAAGTACTGACAGCAAAATCGCAGCAAAAATCGAGCACACAGCCTGCCGTCACGACGTAACGGCAGGCTGTCAATACTTGATTATGTCAGATCATATTGTATTTTTACCGCGTTTTCGCTGTCACGATGTGATAGCAAATAATGATTGATTTTTGTTGTTTATTTCTATCGTTGTGTTAAGTTGGCAGGATAAGCTGTTAGAAACTGAGCTTAATGAGGAAGCAGCAGCTTAATATCTGCTGCACGTCATGATCAAGTTTGCTGGCATACTGCTGGCATACTCCTAGCATTTTGCTATCTGGGTTAGTAGTTTTAACGGCAAATAACCAGGTATATCTAGAGAAAGAATCTACTACAATTAGAATATGTTTATAACCAAATGATTCTATTAAAGGACCAAAATGATCCGTGTGCAAAATTTTAAAAGGAGTTTTAGAGTTATTAACAATCTGTAACTCGCCTTCTCTAGTATGGGAAGAAGAATTAACCATCATACATGTTAAACAATTGTCGATATAAAGTTTCACTTTTTTACGCATAGAGGAAAACCAATATGTAGCACTTAAACCTTGAAGTGTTTTTTCTGCGCCGCAATGCGCTAAATCATCGTGGTATGCTCTAAGTAAACTAGGTACCATAGATTCAGGAACCAGAAAACGAGGTTTGTCTAAACATTTTCTATAAACTAAAGCCAGCGGCACACGGTGCTTTTTTTCCTGCTGGATTGCCAGCAGGATTTGCGTGCTTGCTGCCGTGTTGGCAGCAGTGCTGGCTGTGCTGTTGGCTGTGTTGCTAGCTTGGCTTCAGACGATGCAAGTTTTCGTACTGGCTGAGCAACAGAGTAACTGGAATTCCTAACCTGAGTAGAACTAACGCTTAAATGTCTCGGTTCGTGAGGCAGCCAAGAGCGACGCTTTTTCTGCGTTTATTTTGTTTCATGGAAAAATGCGTCAAATGAGTATAATTTCATCGATTTTTGAGGTGATTATTCATTTGACCTTTACCAAATCTTACATGGAACAAATTGTTGCAATAGCACATCGTCGTAGATGTGCAGTAGCAATATTTTTAATTATTGAAATATTGCGACGACAACAACAGAATCATTATTATCGTCGTCGTTTGTGGAGTCGACAGTGGCTGCAACGTCGAAGCACGCACGATAGTGCTCTTACAATGTTATTTAATGAATTAGGGTGAATAAAATTCTATCAATTTAAAATTTTCATTTAAATTATTTTGTATTATTTTTAGTTATATTTATATTCCCTGTTTGTATATATATAGACCTGAAGATCCAAGATCTTTTACAAATTATACTCGAATGCACGAAGAGGCTATGGAGGAGATATTACTTCTTGTTACACCATATATTGAAAAACAAGATACCCTAATAAGAGATGCAATTTCTCCTCGAATGAAACTGAGTGCAACCCTCCGATATTTAGCAACTGGTAACTCTTTTCAAGATCTTGCATATTCCACAAGAATTGTTCCAAATACTCTGTCGCAGATTGTACCAGAGACATTGCAGGCTATCATTGCAGTACTAGAAGAAAAAAAAGTAATATGCTTTCCGTCTAAGCCTGAAGATTGGGAAATTGTGGCTGATAGATTTCAAACTTTGTGGCAGTTTCCTCATTGTGTAGGTGCTTTAGACGGAAAGCATATTTCATTTCGTCCTCCACGCTGCGAGGGATCTAAATATCGTAATTATAAGGGAACAGATAGTATAATTCTTTTAGCGTTAGTAGATGCAGATTGTAAATTTATCTTCGTAGACATTGGTAAAAATGGTCGCACTCATGACTCTACAGTGTTTCGTGAAAGTCCGTTAGGAATAAAATTGAAAGAAAATACTCTTAATTTGCCACAACCAAATACTCTACCTGGTTTTAATTTTAAGATTCCATATGTCATTGTAGCAGATCATGCTTTCTCTTTACATATAAATATAATGAAACCGTATCCAGAACGTGGCTTAACACGAAACAAACGTATATTTAATTATAGATTAAGCAGGGCACGAAGAATTTCTGAAAATGGATTCGGTGAACTTGTTAATAAATTTAGAGTTCTCTTAAATCCCATACCACTTAATGTAGAAAAAGTAGAAACCATAACATATGCTTGTATTCTTCTTCATAATTATCTTAAAAGTAAAAGATTGCAATTGAATGTTTCTTCTGAATATACAAGAGAAAATATAGAAAGACCCGAATCAGGATTACGTAGTGTAAGCCAACAAGGCGGAAATCATTCGTCTATTGCAGCTATAGAAATAAGAGAAAGATTTACAACATACTTTAATACAATTGGTACTGTCCCATGGCAGAATGCTGCTATAGAGAGAGGTAACGCTTAATTTTTTATACTATCTATAAATACAATCTATCAGTAATCTAAATAAAAAATAGGCTAATTTTCCTTTTATTTTATAGTAATCTATAAGTTTATTATAAGTACATAGTTTTAATAATATATGTAGTTTCAAATATGATAAAATTATGTGTTAACTTTTTTATATTTTAATAAAGATATAATAAAGAAAGTATGTTGTTGTTTTAATGATAGATCTGGGACCCTATTCTTGAAAAGAAATGTATATGAAAAACTAGAGAAATACTATAATATATGTTACGTATACTACTATAGTATTTCCTTAGATTTTCGTATACATTTCTTTTCAAGAATAGGGGCCTTGGGACTGAGAAAGCAAATGCACAGCAGTTTTACAATTTGCGAAAATACAAAATAAAATCTGAAATTGGCACTAATGATTTAAGTATAAAATTTTAACCTATCACAATTCTCTTGCAATAATTCCAGCCATGAAGAAAAATAATCTGCTTTAATACAAATCATTAAGCGGGGAGCACAGACTTTTGCATAACGCATAAAGCATGTGCATAAGGAATTTCATTGGCCCATTTTCTTATGCATGAGTCAATGGACCAATCAAATTCTTTATGTATATGGTTTATGCGTTATGCAAAAGTCTGTGCTCCCCGCTTTAGGCTGCATACCCATGCAGTGGAATAGCGTAACGCGGAATATGAGAGTGAAACCAATCACAAGCATTCCACATCAGTTGCAGTTCACTAACTGTGAAACGCTTGTGATTGGTTTCACTCTTGTTTCACGTTACGCTATTCCGCTGCATGGGTATGCAGCTTTAAGGGTAATGTCCCATGGAGCGGTTCGTGCGTAAGCGGATTAGCGGATCGCCAATCACAGAATCGTTCTGTTAGATCTATTTACACATTTTGCAAGCAAATCTAACATCCATGGGACATTACCCTTAAGAAGGAAATTAATCACGCATTGCCGTTTCTAAATCTTGAGTGTTTCCATCTATAACTATTTGAACCAATTTATTCATTATTTCAAATTTAAACTTTTCATTTTTATAACCTTTTAATATTGATCCTATAAATATCATACAGGTATCTACAGGATCTGATATAGTATTCGAAGTTGCAGTATTTAAAATTGCAGATGAATTAGTTGAATTTACACATACTATAGGTTGTTTTAATGAATCGGCTAACGATTCAATAGCTTCAGTATAATCATTTCTAAGTTCTACATTTGCTTTGCGTTTCTTTGTGAGTTTGACTGGTGGAGATAAACAATTTAGGCGGCTGCTAACTCCTGATAATGTCGAATTTGCTGGACTAATAGAAGGAGATGGTCGAGAAATATTTATGACGGAAGATATTTTATCAGGAATAGATATGCTCTGAGGACTAGTGACTGACGAGAAACTGTCATTGTCTGACACTGTTGATGATCCTGGTTTAGCCAGAAATGATTCGGTTGTAGATTCATCAATGGAATTCTCCGTGAACAATGTATTATCCAGCCATTCTACTTCCAAAAATGTTTCTTGACTATTCTTTTGAGTCAATTGTTGAGAGTTTGATAATTCTTCGTTCTAAATGATAAAATATATATAAACAATATAAAAAATAAATAATTACTTGTTATTACGAAACATATAACGGAATTCTAATAGTTCAAATCAAATATAATTTGTAGCACAGATTATTTAATTTTCTCAATCTAAATTTTACCTGATTTGATATCAGTTCGTTTGCAAAATTCTTTTCTAAAGAATTCCGGCTTTTCCGAGACATGAAATAATTTTCTATGTATTGTAAATGTTCAAAATACCAGAGACTTGGTTTGTATATCTACAAAATATTTTAAAAGGTAATCAAGCTTTAATAAAAAAAAAATAAAACAGTAAATATTATACATATGTATACAATATGAAAAAGATTAATAGATAATTAAAAGATTTTCGAGAAAGTCAAATAATAAAGATGCAAATGATGTCTTCATCAACTTTAGCTTGAAGTTTTTTTGTTGGAGATGACGTTGTATTTGTTGATGATGAAGGGGAAACCTTAGAATTTTCCTTTCTAATAGGAGTAGGCGATTTCTTAAAGTTAGCAGCAAAGGAAGTTGTTACTTCTTGCATGAGGTGAATAAATTCATCCAAAGTGTTTGCTTGTAAAACAGCAGCTGAAGCTCTAAGAGAAGCACTGTTAATGCCGTTAATTAATAATTGTATTTTATTTTTCTCGGAAACTTGTAGTCTATGCATTAATTTAATTTTTTGGAGAGCATATTCTTGAAATGTCTCTTTATTGAAATTCCATTTTCGAGTATCAATCTTTTGTATTAATATATGAAAGGGAATGTTGACATGAAATCTTCTCAAGATTGAATTTTTAAAAGTGATCCAAGCTTTATTAACGGTACCAGCTTCCATATCATACCAGTCACGAGCATGCTTTTGTAATCTTTGTGAAGCAGCTAATAAGGTATTTTTTCACTAACCTCATGAATATGAGCAATATTCTCTACTTTTTGAATCCATAATTCCACGTCTTCTTCTTCTGATCCATGAAAAATTGGAATTTGAGATGCCAGAAGTGTAACAGCTTGAGCGTTTGATACACCTGCAAATGGTTGATTACCACTATTCGGACTGCTGGAAATATTGATATTTTCCAAACGTGTTGTTGAATGAGATGTTGTAGACTGCATTGACGCACTAATGTTCAAATTTACTAATTGTGTAAGCAATGCTTGTTGTTGTTTCATTTGTTCCATGAGACCAATAAGTAATTGTTGTGAAATCTCTGCCGATGTCGATTGTTGACACGGTTGAATAACTGGATTAACATTAAGTAATGTTTGACCCTAAGTACCGGAGATCGGACATACCGGGGTATCACCAAGTGCAATTAAATTTGAAGGTGCACATCTTTCATAATGAGCTAATAAAGCATCAACACACCTCGAACGAGTTTCTTGCGAGGGTAGATTATTTTGAGACAGTTCTTCTTGAAGCTGCGGCAGCGTTATTTCTTCGAGACGTAGCCGATCCATTGCGAAATTCTCGCAAGGTTATAAAGAACAGAAAGAAAAAAATTTTCTCCTTTTTTGCCGCAACAGGTCTTAACACGTTGTTATCACGCGTTCAAAATGGCTGACTATTCAGGCGCCAAAAGACCAAAACACAAAACGCACTCGACCACTTACGATAATCGAACACAAAACCACGTACAGAGTAATAATGATATTGTAATCAATTTTATCAACTTTATCCCACTTCTGAGATGGTTGTAAGGCGGGGAGAAGGGAAACGGACTAACCGCCAAAAGTTATGAAGGAGATGGCGTCTCCTCAAAGGAAAGATCCACAAATACGACAATGTGTCGTAAAGGACAAACTGGATCGTAGGTACTAATGTCAGGAAGGAAAACCGATAACCTCTGGATATCTTAGGTCAACGGGCTTTAATGGACTCTCGTACGGGTTCACACAAACAGGCTTTATTATCTGTATCACCAAGTTAATGTTCTCGCTATGACTCTTATTACAGAAGTAGTGTCTCGTCTTGTTGTTCTCTCCCGGGCTGCGCGTACGCACGCGCATGACCGGTGCTCTTGACCAATCCTAGCGGACGTATATCAAACTGCCTATCACAGGCTATCACGTGGTCTGAAGGACCTATCGGTATTTCCGAATATCTTGCGCAACCGCATTACATGACTGCAACGGCTTAAACCTAGTGCGCGCGCCGCAATGGCGTAGTAACCTAACCTGGAACTGACTGATCTCTTACAATTGGGAGAGTGCGTTACTACGGCTGTCTTCCCATAGTCCCTTTGCCAGTCAGTAAAATAATATTACTAGGATGACATCATCCTACTGACTGGGGGTGCGTTCCTTTATTTACTGCAAGTACTGGCTGCTTTCGATCAAGGCTTTTAGGCGACACACATCGACACAGTGTCGAACCACAGTATATACAGTAGCGCAACTCTCTGTCGACACCTTTGATGTTAGTGAAGCCTAAAATGGAGTGCGCATGCGCGGCCGAGGCGCGTAACCAATCAGGGCACTGTATTCTATCTCACTTCTGCTCTCTGTTTATAACCTTTTCTCTCTTTCTAATTTATGTTCTAGCAATGTCCTAACCTAATTTGCACATTTGAATACGCGTACTAACAAGTAACTTTTATAAAATTATCTTAATTTATTTCATTATTCACAGCGAATACAGAAATCTATAGTTCTCGTTTACACTATATAGATATTTAATACTAACAGTGAAAAACGAGACGCATTTGAAAGAGAAAATAAAATAAAAATTAAACATATATAATGCACATTTATTTTATAACACTATATTTTGCAATTAAATATACCCACAAAATATATTATTATTAACTAATTGTACAGCAATATTGTATGTATAGCATATATCTTGTGTATACAATATAATATATACGCAATTAGAACAGAAAGTCACAATAAAGTCAAAATGACATTAGAATGATTGAAAAATGACTTTTAATGATCATTTTGGAACAATTTTAACATCATTTTGATACAATGATGACTTGTTTTGTTTGGATATATAATTAATGTGGTATTTCATATTTTGAAATATCATAT